AAAAAAGAATAGACAACAAAAATTAACCAAAATCTTCCATCTAAGGGTAAAATGAATACCTCCCTTCATAACTTTAAAACAGTGTAGAACAGAGGGCCTTTTAGGGTAATTCAAATTATTTGCTCCATATCCACTGGTCTTAATTGATGTTGTGCTAAGGAAAATATCCATTTAAGTATATAAATAAGCCCAGGTTTACATATGTATAAAATCTGACACATTCTACCAGATTTCTGAAAAGGCATCCCCACTGCTTAGCAGAATAAAGAACTCCTCCTTTGCAATTCTCCCTCAGATCCTGTCCCTTGAGATAAAGAGAAGTCTGCACTGTGAAAACAAAAGTAAAACTGACTATATACCCCTCCTAAACACATACATACCAAAATACCTGTGTCTCTCTTTCAGGGCACAAATAAAACTATTGTTTGACAAAACCTAGTGTGGCTTTCCTGTTTAGTTCTACACATCTAAAAACATGTAATTTTTCAAAGTTGCATTTCTCCCCTTTGAAGCAACCCTCTAATGTCAGACCACATTTTAAACCCAATAAAAATTAAATCAGAGAAAAGTAAAACTCTTTGAATGTCATTTCCCTCTACCTTAGTGCTTGTCTTTAGTCTGGGTTGAGAACCAAGCCCAGAGCATTTAAAACAAGATTTATGAATCAGGCTCTTCAGGATGAATGTTTTGCAATGTGCCAGTGGTTAAAAATTAACTTTGACAGGTGTAGAAGGGCAAGGGGGAGAAAGAGTCATTTATTTTCCACTCTGGGCTTGAGGGTGCAATATTAGACTTCAATTATACTACATTCGTATTTCTGAATATATCCATGAAATCTGAAATATGTAAATACAGTTATAATGGGTTTCATTCAAAGGCACCCTGTGTTAAATAGACTTATTTTTATCTTGGTTTGCCTACAGAAATCTACTTTACCTACCTAAGTATTAATTGGGTAAAGAGAACACAATGATTCAAGAAAACTTGTCGTTTGGCTTTAAATATTTTTAAGACTTTTTAGTAACAGAATAGAACAGCAAACTATCAACAAAGTTCAGAGAGCTTACTCTGTGCCCTACCTTTTCCAAATCTTAGCTTCCCTCCATAAATGAGGAGAATCCTTATTTCACAGGATTGCTGGATGCATTGGATGTGTTGATGTGTGACTATTCTTTGAAAGTTGGAAGTTTATCAAAGAATAAATTTGGATAATTATTATGCTGTATCTAGTTCTCTGCTAGGAAGAGCTCAAAAGGAGAAAAAGCCTTTATCCCTGCCCTTTAGAAATGTAATTATATAGATTAATAGGAAAAACTATAGACAGTTAAATATAAGATGACAGAAAGCTTAAAGGCATAAACATACTGAATGGGTCGACTTAACTTGCATATAAAACAGGGGAAGGACCTACTTGAGTGGAGATAAAGTGGATGGCACTGCTTGGGGCAGCTACGTATAGTTGCATACTTTGTGCACTGTGCAAAGGCACCTAGGCAAGATGGAGGAGTGGTGATGAAATCTAGGCTGCTCCATTCACCAAGCCACATACAGAGGAAGGGCTTCATACAAAGGTACCTTCCTCCCTCCAAGCAACATACCCACATCAGGGAGGCAACTTCCCAGAGTGTCTCTTTTTGCCCCTACAGGCTCCTAGAGGCCGTAGCTCTGCTGGCTGGGAACATGGCATAAGGAAAAAGGCCTGACAGAATTCACACAATTAATGAGGAATAGGTGGACTGAAGGAATCAGACCTGCTGAATGAGGACAGCTCCCATAAGGCCTCAAAAGCTAGAGTTGATGCGATAGATAGTAGAGAAATGATCAGTTCATTAAATCTCATACCAACCCCAGGAGAGAGGCATTAACCCAGTTCCACAGTCTGGAAAACAATTTGGAAAAGCTGAGTTACTGGAAAGAGTTGAGATTCCAATCCAGATCTATTTGAGTCAGAAGCCCACTGTTTTTTCCACCGCATGGCTCATGGAGTGATTTGGAGCCTTATCCTGAAAAGTATTAACACTGCCCTGACATTGTTTACTATGTGTGACCCATGGGGGCTAATTTCACATATTTTTAGTTTATTACATGCCGGAAACTTCAGAGGAGTTTTTGATTGGACACTAAAAGCAGCCTCATTGCTCATGAAGATTCCAAAAACCCAGGCAGCAGGGCATGGCAGATAGAACGGGCTGGAGTGGAGGCGGCGGCTCCTGGGCAGACCCGGTTTGGGCCCCCACTGGCTGGGTAGCACACAGCAAATCTCTCTCTCTGTGGGTCTTGGTTTCCTCATGTCTAAATTGGCAAAGCTGGACAACGCTTTCAATTCTAAAATGATGCTTCTTTTGTGATACTATCACTTAAAATATGCACTGCTTTTGTAAAATACCAAGCCATTATTTTGTACTGTGTAATTTATTTTGAATAAGTCTTTAAACTCCATGCATCAAAATGCTATTTCTCCTTTGCCTATTCAAATTGTACCTATTCTTCAAGACACATTTCAAGCCCTATTTCTTCTATGAGCCTTTTCTGTCTACTCCATTACCCTAGATAGTCACCAGCTGCATCTCTGAAGTTCTTTTTGTACTTAGAGTTTGTGCACTCCCACCTACCATTTAATTAGATACTATGTGCTAATTGGTCTCATTTGAACTGAAACTTTGCCTCAAACATCATAAGCTTTGCCATTTCAAGTTCTATCTGGTAATAATTAGAAATGCTGTCTATCTGCCCTATAACAGAGTCTTGCTTTTGTCTCCCTTAAATATCATTCAGGTACTCATTTGTGTTCACAACAATGTTACTGTAAATGGCCATTCGTTGGAGATGTAAGGTGCTATGCTTTCAAAGTTCTGTCTGGTACTAGCACATGCTGTGGCAATGCTGAAGGACTCTAAGAAATTATTGCATTTTTTAAACCAGGCCTAAGAATCATTTCTTCAACCCAGGTTGCCATACTAGTCATTTGCACTGGAGCCATTCCTGAATACAAAGATGTTCTGGATGGGGATGTTTTGTTCCTGGAGTGGGCAGTACAATGTATGCACACATGAGAAGATACTACAACAGCCATTTAATTCCAAAGGTCCTATACAAATCACACAAAGTTCCTGGGAAAACGGCTCAAACTAGAATTTAAAACCTACTTGGATTTAATTTTTTAAAGAGGCCACATAAATACTGGGATGATCCAGCAAATGTTCAAGGCTTTGTCATTCTTTAGCAGAGCTGATGGAACTAATCCTCCTTTGAAACAGGCGCACCAATTGCTCAGTAGAGAAATATAGGGTCCTTTGACATATCAAACAGCTTTCTGGGTGGCATTATGAAAATAGTGCGGATACCCATTTTTACTTGGGTGGAATTAGGATGCAACTAACAAAGACATTTAACCAGTTGACACCAGTCAGGCTAATCAAACTCTACCACTGATTCTACTATACCTTGTGTAGTAGAAATTTTCCAAAATTCCATGTGATAAATTCATTTGTGGGTATCTGTCAAACCCTGTCTGGCGTTGGCTTCCATGTGTCTCTTCTCTCTAGAGGGGTGGCCACTGAAAAGATCAGGACTACCCCCCACTAGCCCTTCACTGAAAGCAGAGTCCAGCTCTCCCTAGTCTCTAACATAAGCCTCAACTTAAGTGCCACGTGCCACATCCCTATGCCCATTCTTTTCCACTAAGTCCAAAGGCGGCCTCTGAACACCAGCACAGAGCTGTCAAATCCATTCACAGTGACCTGTGTACTCACACGAGATGAAGCCTTTTGGCCACCCCCTGGACTGAAGTCCTAGGCCCTACCTGTTGACAGCCTTCTTTGACGTAGTTTACCTAGAATTCTGGGCACCCCTGTTAAACATTCTGCTTGCTGTGATTTGGAACATCCCATGCTTGCCTTATCTACTATATCTGATGCTTCTCAACTCTGGTACCACAGGTACCATTTTGGGCCTGTCCACATAAACCTTTCCCAATACCCACATCTTCAGTGTTTACCTACCCCATCCTCTATCCTACCCCCTTGCAGGTGGCTTTTGAGTCTAGGCCCTGGCCTCTCTTAGGCTGCCCCATCCAGATGCAAGTAACCAAGCCTGGCTGTGCAATACCCAATTAAGAAAAAGCACAACTTAACTCTCCATTGCATGATGATGAAACTGAGTCCCCATGCCTGTTCATACCGAGATAAATGTGGTAATCTGCATGTATTACCTATAATAAATATATTCATGGAGTTTCATTTAAGTTCCAGGAATAAATTAAGACTACAAGCAACACCTTTTACTGGTCCTGAAACTTCACGTATAGGACCCTAATCACTATTCTAAATCACCACTGTCGATTAGCTAACTTTTAACTGGTATATAGCAAAATGAGGTTGTTTAGACTTTCCACAGTAGAAGAAAAATACATCAGTTTAAATTAAATGCATTGCTAACATGGTCTACATTTCCTGCTTTGTTAAATGGCTAACTGAACAGCAGCCTGCTTTCAAAGAAGTGTCTGGCTTGCTCAAACTTGCTGCAGTGAACACTCTGGTTTCATACTGCTCGCATTATTGAAAATGTTTATTTTGACAGGCATTTCTCAGCATACCCACTTCCAAAACACACATTCTAAAATACTTTAAATTATATAGCAATTATAAATCCCCTACTTTATAAGTATTAGAAAGAAAAACAAAAATGTCAACAACTAAAATGAACTCCATAAATTTCTTCAACAACCTGAAGCATAAATGTTGAAGGGTACAGGGAACTCTCCAAACTCTCACCTAAAACCAAGTTTAATTTAAAATCCGCAAATGTTGAAACTCAGATAATAATTAACATATACACTATCACTCAGCTATTTGTTTTCTTTAAATCACAAGGTAACATATTACTACCAATCGTAATTCCATAAGAAGCTGTATTACTTCAAAGGAGGTTTACAGTCACCATTTTTTAAGGCTCTAAAAAAAGGAACCATGAGAGAATGTTAAATGTTCAAAAAGCATTACCTGGTGCAGGCTGTCGTTCATTCCATTCAGTTGAGATTAAAATTTCTATAACTTTTATGAGGTTTTCAGTATTATCAGAGCTGTAAGAAAGAGAGTTTATTAGAAACCTTTTCCCTAAAAGCAAACTCATTTTCATTATATACACTCAAGTGAACGTGTGTGATAGCATTTGGGCATGCATCTCTGGAGTAGTATATTTAGAATACATTGTCATGACCAATCCATTTAGGACCACCCTCATCACCCCAAAATACATGTTTGTCTCCTTTCACTTACCTGGCTGCTGAGAATCTGAAAAGCATAGGGCTGAAAATTTCAGAGAGTACTCTTGCATTCAACAGATTTTTGCTGGAGGTTTGAGAGAGCTTGAAGAAATGTTTTAACAAATACTGAAGCGTAAGCCAATACTGATGAGGTATGCTAGGCGACCTAATAAGCTTCTTCAGTAGCTGAATATATTCTTCGGAGCTTTGTACTTCTACAAGTTTTAAAAAAAAAAAAAAAAAGAAAAGGGAAATGAGTAAGAGACTATTTCCAGGTATCGGTGAATAAACACCTAGAAAAGCTCTGTTCTTTCTTCAAGCTATAGGAGTCATTTAAAAAGTTGTTGGGAGAAGCACACAGTACATTTGTCCTTCTCATTAAAAAATGCATTATGAGAAAGAAGAAATCTCAGGTCAAATGGAAAAGCAAGAAGCTCAGTGTGTAAAAAAAAACCACAAGCTGTTTAGGGTGTGCTGGCAGCAACTTACCCAGCATTGAGCAGCTTCATGTGTGATTGGCTAACTCAGAGGAGCATCAGATAAGTATCACAGGTTTTAACTTTGAAGGTTACGAACCACAGTTTCCTGTCCCCAGAGCACTTAACTGAACCTTAGCTCCTAAAACTGAGAGCCCTCTTCCCTCAACACATTCTGTTATGGCCACTCAGGGAAGGTGACAAGAACATCCCCCATCACTGGATCCTAGTCCCGGTTCCTTGAATCTGACACTAGTACTTGGAAGACCGTGTCCTTCATTGACATACAAACTTTGTTAAGACCAGTAGGTTAACAATGAGCCATTTCTGATTCTGACATGCAGACGGGCTTCCCAAGCAAATGAGAATCTAGGTCTTCTCTTGGATGCCTGGGTAGAGGAGGAAATTTGAGGCGGTATTGTTGGAGGAGGAACAGGTGGCTACTACCACTATTTTCTAACCACTATCTTTATATATGCAACACATATACAAGCATATCTACATCTCCATGTATGTCCAATGAGGTCCTCAGAAGAGAAAAAACAAACCTTGAGCTAAAGAAATCATTTCACTGTAAACGGCTGCTGGAATGACAGGATTTGGTAAGTCCAGGAGATAGCGTTTGAAAGCGTCGGCCAAAATGTGCACATCAATCATTTCCAAGTCCACAGAGGCTGTATCTAGGAAACATTTTAAGAAATATTTCAGACATTTATTTTAAAGAATACATCAGTTGGGCTAATTTTCTGAACATCTGACTCATGTGACAAAAAAAAGGAAGCAATATGAGGATAAATATAAGACACAAAGTATTCGTTAGCTGTACTTCTTGTAGGGGTTGATCCTGGCATTTGGGGTAGAACAGTTTTTCCTGTGGAGGTCTGTCTGACAAATTGCAAGCATTTGGGATGCCTGACCCCCTGCCCATGATGCCAGTAGCAGACCTCTGGACTTTGGGGCAACAAAAAATAATACCTTTGTTATGGGCTGAATTGGGCTGCATCTTCAGTGGTTACCTACCCCATCCTCTATCCCACCCCTCTAAGCCCAAACCCCTAATGCCTCTGAAAGTGACTGCATTTAAGTTAAAATGAGGCCATTAGAGTGAACTCCAATCCAATCTAATTGATATCCTTCTAGGAGGGGAAATGAGGACAGAGAGAGACACACTAGGGATGCACAGGCACAGAGGAAAAAACGCTGTGGACACCGTGAGCAGGCAACCACCTGCAAGTCAAGGACAGAAGCCTCAGGAGAAACCAAACATGCCTTCATCTCAGACTTCTAGCCTCCAGAACCACAAGAAGTAAGTTTCTGCTTTTCGAGACGGAGTCTCGTTCTGTTGCCCAGGCCGAAGTACGTCTCTGGTGTGATCTCAGCTCACTGCAACCTCCACCTCCCAGGTTCAAGCGATTTCCCCTGCCTCAGCCTCCTAAGTAGCTGGGATTACAAGTGCATACCACCACGCCTGGCTAATTTTTGTATTTTTTTTACTAGAGACGGGGTTTTACCATGTTGGTCAGGCTGGTCTCAAACTCCTGACCTTGTGATCCACCCACCTCAGCCTCCCAAAGTGCAGGGATTACAGGCGTGAGCCACTGTGCCCGGCCAAGTTTCTGCGTTTTAAGCCAAGCAGTCAGTGGTAACTTGTTATAACTGCCTGAGCAAACGAATATAGAATCCAAACATTTCCTAACACCCTCTGAGGGTGGTTCTGCCCTGACTGAGAAGGGTTCTAACTAGGAATGGTTAGTCATATAGTAAATGTTTCCTAAAACCTCAACTGGAAAATTTGAAAAATGCATATTCCCAGATTTCCTAAGACTTGAGTTGATACATTTCAGAATTCATGTAAATGTCACCAACAGAGTGGCGGATTCAACAGTAAGATACTACAGACTTTTAGCAACCAAGCTCAACAATATCCATGAAAATAATTTCAACATTTTTAGAATATTTCTCCCTAATTCTGGCTGAGTATTACTAATCTAACCTGTGGACATCAGACTATTTCAGAAAATAAAATGAGCATACCTGTCCAGTAAATGCCTCAGCTGGGAAACAGGTCAAGCGATCCAATAACGGGGGTGATACTAATCAAAACCACTCACCAGGCACTCACTATGCATGGCACTCTGAGCACTTGGGTTGGAAAAAGACACAATGCCCAGCAGAAAAAAGGGATGCTAGAAACAAAGATCTGGGGGCAGGGCTGACCATGGGCCTCCAGAAAAGAAGAAGTCTTTGGCTGCTGCTGAAGGATGTACACTAGCAATGTGAAGGGTAATTCGAGGAAAGTGATCTGGGGACTTGTGTACTCAGTGGAGAAAAGATGGGCTGATGGGCAAGATACTACATTTGTAACAGCTTTACTAATGACAGTGTTAAGAATAAATTGGAAAGGAGTGCTGCTAGAAGTAAAACTACCAGTTTTAGTTCTCTGAATCAAGGTGATGGGGGTCTGAATTCTAATGCAGTTAGAAATGTGCAAGATATTATCAAGACCTCATATAACTCAGTGATTGACTGCATTGGGCTGTGGCCTAGGAGAGAATGAGGAAGTATGAAAGTTTACTGCAAAGTGTTTGAGTATAAGTGAGTGGGAGAAGGTAGTATCCTAGATACCCTTCAATGAAGTATGATAGTACAAATCATTCGAGGTTGAGCCTAAGACTACAAAAATTCCTTGGACATATCGTTATCATAAACCAAACCTGCCCCACTAAGTAGGCCGATGTTCCAAAAGTGAGTCACCCAACCACAGAGCTCTAAGAAAAGTCAGACTGGAATAGGATATGGACAGGTCAACTTAAGGAAAAGAATTACTAAATTTAAAAGGTGAGAGACAAAGTGTTAAATCACTTAAATGTCCTACAAGCAACTAACCAGAGACCTATCACATGTCTAACAAATGTGGGAGGGGCAATACCATTGCAGGTCTTTGCCTAAAGGATCTATGTTGAAGGTAATGCAATTGTGAGCATAATTAAATACCGTCAAATAAAATCGTGTGTGTGTGTCGCTATAGGAATTCTCTATGGTCACCACCCTTGGCCGTGCTTCTGGTCTCCCATACACTTTGCCCCTGTGCGTTTCATCTAATGTCTCTTTGCCCGGAAAATTAGTATTACTGAATTTGCTTATCCTAAAATATGTGATAAAACATTTGGTGATGCAATATAAATGTTAAGATAATAAATATACACACATCCCTCCCTCAGGCAGGGTCTCCCTCTGTGCTTTTGCAGTGCTAATGAGCCATCCCTCTATCAAGACACTTCCCAAAGAGTATAATCATCATATGGGATTATGTTTCCCCCTACTACACCAAGGTATGTCAAGGGCAAGGACTGTGGCTGTCACCTGCTCTTCTCGCATCCCTCAGTGTCTAGCACATACAATGTATTAAATGTTTGTGGACTGAACTAGAAAGCTCTTAGAGTGAAGTTAATTTGTCAAAGCCCTTCTCTAACACGAGGTATATCAAAAGAACTTGTATAGTGTATGAATAAAATTATCTTATGCAGGTCTTTGGGTAATGTTACCTTACGTCAAATTCTACTAGAGTTAGTGACAAAGTCTGTTTTATTTCTCTGACTTCTGCTCTCTAAGAACCCTTTTCTGCACTGAAACTGGCCTAACGTGCTCTCCCACTAGCTAGTCACACCTGTCATGTGATGACTTTTGAAGAGCTACATAATCTTTAGGTCTTGATTGGAGGAGTCTGCATTCTCTCCTACCTCACTTTTCACTGAGTCTACTCACGACAGGTACCCCGTAAACTCTCCAATCCTTCACTCCTCCCTCCCTCCCCCTGGAATGGAGTCCCCTCTTCTTCAGGTCTCTCCCTAGATGTCTGGAGACATTTCTGACTGTCACAACTGGGGGAGAATGCTGCTGGCACCTCGTGGGTAGAGGTTAGGGATGTGGCTAAGCAGCCCACAATGCACGGGACAGGCTGCCACTCTTCCAGCAAAGAATTATCCAGCCTAAAATGTCAATAGTACCAAGGCTAAGAAAGCCCGAGTCAAGTTAAAAGAAACCAAAAACTGTCATGTGAAGATCTGAATCATTAAAACTTGCATGAGACAAAGAAACAATTTATTTTGGGGCAAAATTAAAAAAGAGAAAAAAATCAAGGATTTTTGGAGTCACAAAAATTAGCCACTCAGCCACTGAAAAATGTGAAAGAAATTATTTACCTGAGGGTCAGCTTTCTTTTCTGGTGAGTTAAAGTTACTAGGATGTACATCACAAGGTTAGTGTGTGGATGAAATAGCTTAGCAGGGGCTAATAAAAGTGGGCTATTGTCTGCCATGTCTGTCCTTTTCAAACACTGGTAATTCATAAGGTTAGTTAAAAGCCATCATTTTTTTTTTTAGGTGTAAGTGACTATTTTGGAGCCTCCTCCAGGATATTATACAATATTTTTATGTATTGAAAAATCTTTGAGTTGGAAACAGACCTGGCAGATCCACTCCCAAGTTTGGACAATATTTATTTATATTTGGTGGGGGGGGGGGGCACAAAATTCACTTTTTTAGCACAGACTCCAAATGAAACCACTTTTCTACGTTTTTTGATCTCACTGGGGAAGGAAAGCTGTCGGTCAAAATGTACCGTTGACGTGAGTCTTGGTTGTTGACTCTATCTTGCGAGTGGTGTGAAGAGTTTTTTTTTTTTTTTTTTTTAACAACTAAACTGCATCATTCTGTGTTGATCACATTACAAACCTAACCACTATTTCTCAAATAACTTCCACTTCATCAGGCTCTGATGTCTAAACTTTTCCTGTGACTAAACATGTTCATAATTTGACCAATTTTCTGACCCAAACATGTGTCTTTATTTCAATTGGCTAAGGACAAAATTCAGTGTTTCCTTAATACTCTGATAAAGCTGTCAGAAATATCAAAAAACAAGCCTTTTCACCTTGAGTGTTCTGCATGGTAACTTCTAATGATCTGCTCTGTGGGACGTGCAGGAGGCAGAGCAGCAAAGAGGATATGCCCTGTTCGCATGCAACTGATTTCCATGTACAAAGAAAAAATGAAGTTACATATTTTTTTAAAACATTTTTTTAAAACATTTGGTCAGAACATTTCAAGTGTAAGAATTTACTGATACTGATAAAGGTCTAGTCTCCTCCTTTTCTCCAAAAAGACCTCTTTTCTAGAAAGTCTCAGAAGCTGCCTCATTTTGAAACTGCCTCACGCTTCAAATTCTCATTTACTATCATGTGGGCATTCTTTGTACAATTATACCTCTGAAGGAGGTATAGTTTTTTCTCTATGCCAAAGGAGGAAGTGGGTGTGTGGGGTACTAAAGTCCTCTTGGCTAAATTAATTAGTGTCATTTAACCAAACTGTCCTCAATTCTTCCCAATTCCACATCCAGTGACATGTTGGTTAGCTTGAAATAAGCCTCGGTGGGAATATTCATGCCACAAAAATGGGCAGACGCTACCAACCAGGGCCTTTTACTTCCTACAGAGTTGGTTTATCAGCACACCACTGAACATAACAATCTCATGATGTTACTTAATGTACTCAACACAAGAAAAAGCAAGAAAGAAGGCAAGCCAGAAAGAAAGGGAAAGGGAAAAGGAAAATGGAAGGGAAAGGTAATAAAAGAAAAAGGGTGTCAGAAGAGACATTTCTTAAGTGACATAGGCTTAAAAATATTTTTTAACTGCTTCAGATGAAATAGATGTAGCCAAATTCAGGATCAAGGAAAGATGGTAGATATACAGAGCAAGAGAAACATCAAGAGGTGGTTTCTCTCCTCTGCAGGACCCACGGCCTGCTGGCTATGATGATGGCCAACATGCCTGAAGGGAGGCATGCACACACTTGCAGCCCAACTCAGGAGAAAAATGTCAAAGGTCTGCACTGTTACCGTAACAGGGCAGGGAGAGCTGTGCATGATTTGAGTTCCCTTTACATTTAGAACATTGCATAGATTAAATTCCATTTTTTGTGTGTGCATTACCTGAAACAGAAAGCCAAGACCTGTCTTTCCCATTTGTATTTCTAGCTCTGTGACACTTACCACAATCAAGAAGCTGTCGTAATTCCGCCAGGTTGCCGGAGCTCTGTGTTCTGTATAGAGTTGAACATTCCAGACCTAGGACACAAAACAGACCACAGACTATGTATGCAAAACACAGCTCTCTGGAGAACCTGTGAGCCCGCTGCCAGAGACATTCCAGTTTCCATCCAGTATCTGTTCTAGATGCGTACCAAATATTCTTGGAAGTCAACTCCTACTATTAATCTTATCTGGCATGTCGATGATTTTGGCAAAACCATCTGGCCTCTAAGAAGAAAGTTAATCATATTTATTAAATTATGAAGAATTTAATAGTTTCCATATGGAAACTACATGTTAATCTAGAGTTAGAAATTATAGACCAAGACATTTTCCCCAGTACTTAGCCCTAAACAGTTTGAGTATCCAGCAGAGTATCTGGACATAGCTGGTAGCAGGAAATTTACTTAATGAATGCACAAGAGACAAATAATAACAGCCATGAAATAAGGGTGAACTGATGCCCTCTGGCAGTCTGGTTACCTTTCTTTTCAATGGCTTCCACGAGCTTGATAAGAAGAGGCGGGGCAACGTCAGGAGGGGCAAACTGCTCTGCAAGATCCGGGAGAGCGAAAGCTGCAAACAACAAAATCCCACCATTGTATTTAATTTGGATAGTTGAATGCATTAGACCACAATGAAGGACGTACAAAATAATTTAATTACGGATCCACCCTCCCCAGGGCAAACCCCCTGTTGGAACTGGCCCCCAAAGTTGAGGAGTGGCAGGATGGATGGGGTTTGCGAGTGCAGGGACGAAGGCCAGGGATGAACCGAGGAATCCAGCTCTCCACATAAATACAGCTCAGGGCACGGAACTCTCAGGAGCCAAGAACCTGAATTCAGATCGTCTCCCTCCTGGTTATTTAGGAAGAAATAACTGCCCAGAAAGGGACAGGGACAGAATTTATGTGAACAGGAAGTTAAAAGTTTTATTGGACGATTTTATTGATTTTTATGTTATAAATCTGTTGACATGATTTATAACCATAAATACTTAGGCTCAGCAGGTTACTTGGGCCTCTTTTTTGGCATTCTTGCCCCGAAGCCTCACAAATGCCAAGTATGCGGCTGGGCTCAATCAGAAGCCGCAATATGAATGAATACTGCCCACTTGATACTCAAATTAATTTCCTGTGTAACTTTGTCAAGAGCTTTGTTTTAATATATTTTTTGGTCAGCTTAGTAGTTTTTAAAAGTGTGGGTGTTTTCATAAACGTTTTTCCGCGAGTGCGTTTTAACCATTTTAGCAATTGATACCAAAAATCTAACTGGGAGACACTCATAAATAACATTTCTCAACAGTACATTGATAACTTATTCCAGTCCAAAAAAAGTAAAACATGTAAGCAAAAAAAAATTTGCCAAACTTCCATGCCAGAAGAGGGAGTAAAAAGTGCCATAAATTTGTGAACTGCAAATTAAAGGTAAATTAATCATCATTATGAAAATTATACGTACACACCATGTTTCATTGAGCCTCATCACTTGCAGTCTTTTCGTGTAGGAACCAATTTATTATCTATAACTCTGACGGAAAGACTAAAATATTGTGCCGGTCTTTGTTTCTGTGAGATTTTACCATATAGCTTTCTTTATTATAAAACCTATACTGAATGGCTAAACAATTTTTCTTTTTTTTTTTTTGAGACAGGGTCCTTGCCTCTGTTCACCCGAGGGCTGAGAGTGTAGAGAAATGGCATGATCATGGGCTCGGCTGCAGCCTCAACTTC